CACTCCCCAGCCCCTCATGCTCAGTGTGGGGGTCCCACCCGCCCCTTTCCCCACTCTTCTGACCTTTCCCCCCCTTTTCCCATCATCCCCCAAACCTCAGTGCCCCTCCTCCTACAATTTTGGGGGATCCCACTCCCCTCCCACTCAGTTTGGGGTCCCACCACCCCTTTATCCCCTCTGACCCCCCTTTTCCCACCGACCTCCCCCTTCCCACCCCCCGCTCACCCGAGAGCTCCTCGCCCGCAGCCGGGGGGGCTCCCAGCACCACCACTGCCCAGAGGAGTCCCTCAAAAAAGGGGTTAGTTGGGGTCCTGGGTGAGCTTTGATTATGTTTGGTGGTCCTAGGGGACTGTGGGGAGGTTTAGGGGGGTTGCAGCACCTTTTGGGGTGAGATGGGTTCCTTTTGAGAGGCAGGTGCCCCACCAAGACTCTCCCAGAGTGGGTTGACATGGGGGAACACAGGGGGGTCCCTGTGGACATCGACTGACCTAAATACGTGATACAAACATGTTGGAAAACTTGGATGAGATGTTTTGACCGTGTTCTGACCCAGAGGATGGAATGCTGTGTGTACAGATAAACAGGGACAACTGGAGACAAAACAATATTTTAGGGTCTCCAGATGGACTTTAGTTATTTTTAGTTATGTGGAAAAACAAAACCATAAATCTGCCAGTGTATAGGATCAAAGTGTATTGAGAACATAAAAGCAGGATTTCTTTCTCTATTAAACCGATTCAGCATCTGGTTTGCTGTGTCCATCTCATGTGCTGTTGAATGGTGTCCGAAGAAGGGACTCTCCTGAAAGCTCTCTGTGCACCACACCCCCAGTGAGCCCAACGGGAGGTACTTCAAGACTCGTCCAGTCCCCTCCGTTTCAAGCTGCAAAGATATCAGGTGAGGGGACAGCGGCCGGGGTAGTCATGGGGCACAACAATACAAAACCTCAGCAATTCCATCCTGAAATGCTGATGGTGTTGTTAAAGAGCAAGGCTGTCGCCTTAATCCCCAGCAAGTGACTCATCTTCTGTTACGGATCGGACGTAATTGTCCGTGGTGTCCAGAGACTGGATCCTGTGGGATCCCAGATCGGCACAAAGTCGGTCAGAAATTGCAGCAGGTGCAAAAGGAGCAGCACGATGTTTCCCCTGATGACATCATTACCTGGCGAATTTTATGTGCTGCTCTGAGTTCTCTTCGACCGAGTGCTAAATCAGAGTCCTGGAGGGACAGTTTGTCCAATGAGCCGGCTCCGAACCTGATGGAATTACAGGATACTGATGGAACTGATTTAAAACCACCCAATTCTGAACATCTTTATGCTGCAGTTCCGTGTGATGTTGAAAACAGATAGTGGGTCGAAACCTGACGTTAAAAAAGGCAGAGCTGCTTCAGCTCAGTGATGATGACCCACCTTCAGATCCCTTTGATCCTGGCTTTGTTGATCCTGAGCAGGAGCCTGACTTGTACCCTGTAAGGGGGGGACTTTTGAATTAGATGATCAATGGAGCAGAGAGGCGTGAGAAAGAAATTCTATTAGGATGTGAAACCAGCCAGAGAATTGTACAATGTAACTTCATGGCACAAGTTAACTGAAAGGTCCATTGTGTTTTTTAGCAAGTGTATTAGGGAGGGTTCAAACCATACTGAATCTTGAAAACCATGACACCGTTGCAGGCTCAACAAAACTGATATTTACTACCAAGAGGTGGCCAACAAAACGAACAAACCCAAAAGGAAGGAAGGAGGAGAGAAATAAGCCCCCAGCACGACCTCCCCAGTTCCCCAGCTGTTGCCCATAAAGTTATCTTACCGACCTGGCGTGCCTGTAATTACCCATAGCAGAAGCTGCATCCTTGGAGAGTCAGTAAGTTCACAAACTGGCAGCGTCCCTGCCAAAGGCAACGTTGTCCCTGATGTGAAGCTTGCTCCCTCCAAGAAAGAGCCATCTGCTTTTACACAATGAACTGAGTGACCTCAGCCTGGGCAGGAGTGGCCATCACTGCCCAGCCAGAGGCCCTCAGTCCCAGCCCCTGGTTCTGTCAGTGCATCTCTTCTGCGCACGCGTGGCTTTCCCTGCGCCTGCAAACTGCACTCAGGGGGGTCTTTTCCAAATGAGTCTGGGGGCGTCCTTCATCCTCCTCCTCCTCAATGTCTCCCTCAAGCGACCTTGGAGGACAATTAGCCAATCCCAGAACACCAATTAAAACAGTTTCTACAAGAAGCTCTCTCTCCAAGGACGAGGTACCCATTTATCAGTGCTTGTTTTGTCAAAACTTGGCAGGGAAAGAACAAAAGTTTTCCAGTTGTCTGGGCCAAACACAGACCAAAAGTATCAGCACAAATTCACCCTGGTACACATGGCAACCATCATACAGTCCCATTGCTATGGTCGGTTACCATGGCAACCCTCACACATTCCCTTTGGTATGATCGGTTACCATGGCAACCACCATACATTCCCATTGCTATGCTCGGTTACCATGGCAACCATCACACATTCCCTTTGGTATGATTGGTTACCATGGCAACCATCACACAGTTGCATTGCTACGGTCAGTTACCATAGCAACCATCACACATTTCATTGCTACTGTCAGTTACCATGGCAACAATCTTACATTCCCGTTGTTACAGTCAGTTACCATGGCAACCATCATACATTCCTGTTTCTACGGTCAGATACCATGGCAACCATCATACATTCCTGTTTCTACGGTCAGATACCATGGCAACCATCATACATTCCTGTTTCTACGGTCAGATACCATGGCAACCATCATACATTCCTGTTTCTACGGTCAGATACCATGGCAACCATCATACATTCCTGTTTCTACGGTCAGATACCATGGCAACCATCATACATTCCCATTGCTCATCTCGGTTACCATGGCAACCATCATACATTTCCATTGCTATGGTCAGTTATCATGGAAAACATCATACTTCCCATTGCTACACTCAGTTACCATGGCGACCATCACACATTCCTGTCACTACAATTGGTTACCATGGCAACCACCATACCTTCCACTGCTACAGTCAGTTACCATGGCAAACAGCAGATATTCTCATTGCCATGGTCAGTTGCCATTGCAACCATGATACATTCCCATTGCTACGGTCGGTTACCATGGCAACCACCATACGTTCCAATTGTTACGATCAGTTACCATGGCAACCATCATACCTCCCATTGCCACAGTCA